CTGACGGGTCTGTAGTTTGTCGCCAGGGCACGACTACCGCTATAACTATGGATTGAGTATTGTATATTTTCTGCATGCCTCTTCTAAAACTCCCGTAAAAGTTACTCCTACTTGCTATGACTGGAGCCCCAAGGGTGTTGAGTAAATTTTTTTATAATTATTGTGGGTGTCTGCTCATCTAAGACGGGCCGCAGATTTTTAGTTTCCACCCATTCTGGTAACTCATGAATCAGTGGACACTTACAGTTGGATGCTGTGCATAACATCTCCAAGGAAAATTGAAAAAGGTTTTGACCAACCAGAATATTACACAGGCAGAAGTGGCAGGGCAAAATCGATTCTCTGTCATGTCTGATTGCTAACTGTTTTGCACATGTACTTTATGTACAAGGTCGACTTGGGAACCAAATTCGAAAATTTTCAGTTAAACTTGTTTATCGTTCCCAAAGAACTTATGTTTCCGAAACACTCTATATGCATATCGGAGTCCTTTTTCAGCACTATCACAGTAAGAAGGGAGTGCGTTAAAGAGTCTTCGAACTGATCGAAGTAGTATCATTCTCCTCGCGGTCAAAAAAGACTCAGTCGCAATTTTGAACAAAAAAGACTGCAATAAGAAGGTGCTGTTATTGTTAGGAGATGGATCTAGCTATAAGCCCCTTTCTGCTGACCGTACTAATACACAGCTTTTATCCATTGATACAGTGCTGAAGCGTCTTACAGAGAAAAAACTACTTCCAGGAGAAGGTCGAAATTCTTGAGACAAACCGAACCGACAATCTCGAAGATGTACAGATAGTTTAAAGTTCTACTGCGACCGATAATATCGTTAAACGGAACGCCAAACTATAGAAATTCCAAATGATTATTCCACAACCTTCATCCAATTACGAGGCATTGCGAAACTTCAATAGAGAACTCGACAGAGATATAGAGAAATTAAAAGAATTCACAAGTTATACTGATGAAATAGTGATCCTCTTTGGTGCTGTTTCCCTCTTCACACTGATACCGCTAGATTTAGCAAAACAATGCACAGAATAACTTTTGATGTCTCATGAGACAGATGTTCCCGCAACTGTCGTGCTTGAACTCACAGACTTATGTTTAGAAACTAACTTCTCATTCAGCAAACAGTGCTATCAACGACTGATGGGAGCTCCTATGGGGTCACCCATGTCTGTGCAAAACATATTGCTTTTACGAAGAAGGCTATCGAATTGAACTAAATTTCTTGTGTAAATTGCTACCACAGAATATATACCCTAAATATTTCGTACGCCAGGGCGTGAAGCAGAAGGAGTGAAGGAGAGAGGAACCAAGAAATCCAAATCAGACGCCCGAACCAAAAACCTGGCGAACCCTTGCTTACGTTAAAAATGTGTCTAAACTCTTTAAAGGACACCTAAAAGGCACCGAATTGGGATGGCGCACCGACCAACGACGACTTTGCGCACTCAATGCGTGGATCCTAAGGATAGGGCAAACTATCTGGATAAGAAAGAGGTCGTTTACAAGATCCCTGGTGGTGCATGTGATGCAGCTTATTGTGGCCAGACTGAAAAATACGCCTTCACGCACATCCACAAGCATCAGTCCGCAGAAAAGAGGCGAGACCACCGGTCTCAAGCAGCCATGCACACTCTGAACATCGGGACTACCATCGTTTGGAAGAAAACTCGCATTGTCTTCGTGTGCCCTTTCAAGAAAGGCCGAGAGTTCCTTAAGGCCATGCACTCGGACGAATCCTGCATCAGCCGGCACATCGAGCTGGATCCCGCGTACAGAAATACCAAGGAAAAATTGACGAAAGAGAAGCCAACCAGGACCGACTGACACACAAATTTGCCTCTTGCAGGCACGAACGCCAATCGGTTGTCGATTTATAATTGCACGTTTGCTCGCCGTCTGTGTATGAGGATGACCAGGAGTCCGCTTAGAAAATTTTCACAGTAAACTTTCTTTTCCCAAAAAACATATCTGACTGAAGTGGATATTTAGATATATGAATAAAACACGGTTATAACGCTATAGCCTATGAACTTCGACTTGACTATTCAAATTGACTTTCGAACTCAGTCTACTAAGTTTCATTCCGTCCGACTTACGCCGAGTAGCTTATAAAGCTGGAAGTTTGAATTTAGTAAGCGCTAGATGCGAAACGCTGGACTGAAGGCTCATCTTAGCAAAATTATTTGCTTCGTGTCACTAAAACTGAACCAGACTGTGAACGCACTTCGGTGAGCGTTTTCCAATATGAGTGTCTTTCGGTCAATATCTGTTCCTTCGAAATATATGCTGTTGTATTTTGAAGGTGAACTCTGCCAAAATAGTTTTTTTTAAAGTGTCACAATCAATAAGCCAAAACCGTAGCAGTCCGTATCCCTGAAATCTGACAACTGCCCTCATGTTTGTTTGGACAGTGGCCAGTTTCATGACTAATTCTTTGCCCTCACTCAAGGCTGTGACTAAACCACACTTGTCTACTGCGCAGACGCCCAGTTGTGTGCACGCACACGATTTCAGTCAGGGGCCACTGAGCGCGACTTCATTTCCCTAGCGAAAACACCAGCAAATAATCGTCCCAAGCGTTCGGTTTTGTCGGTCTTTTCAACGAATTGTACGCCAATGTCATTCTTAGGGACTGCGACTGGGTCTTCGTTTTTTGTCGACTATTGGTATAATGAAATAAAATTACGGGTTTTTAGACTGCTAAAGACCTGCGATTTATAGCCCTTCTTGTCAGACGGAGCCGTGTTTTGAGAGTCTTTCGGTGGCGGCGAAGTTCTTTGAGGTGTTTTTGTAGGGCGGTTTCCTGAGCCCCCTCGATTTCTATTTCCCCCTAAAATATCGACCAAATTCTCCTGTTAACTAAGCTGGCGACTAGTCGTTTTCGCGCTGTTACTGGACAGCGGCACCGAATCAGATACACAGAAATCGTTTTAGATGGTCTCAGGTCTTTCCTTGCATGCCACGTGAGCGAAAATTCCCTGTTCACGGACATAAATTTAGTCTTCATCATGGTGAAATCTGCCTCCCATACATTTGTTGGCCTTCCGTTATCTCGGAAGCTGAGAAGAGGGCGAGTAGTTCTATAAGAGTTAATCATGGTCCCTATTATGAACAGCTGAACTAGGGTACGTTTTTTCAAAGCTAGGAAAGTCTTTCATTGAAACACGTTCCAGAAAACTGACTGTTTGGTTCTCCCTAAATCTCATCAGTGTCTTTGCCTCCGTCCAAAAGGGCGGTCAATTGTGAGGTGTATTAGCTCGAAATTAAAAGAAAAAGGCGCACCGCAACGCTGCTAAATTAGCTCAGCCTATTGCAGACGTGTAAAATTATTAAGCAATAAGAATCTCTTGCTGGTTAGCCGCTTCCCTGACCAGGTGGAGTTGTGAGTCATCAACTGTAATTGGCTGGTTTAATGGTCTGTTTATTGTAGGGAGTTGTGGCTTTTATGAGTTATTCCGCCTCATATTTATCCACACAGATCCATTCTCAAGCCAAAACGTCCGTTCGTCTAAAGGCCGAAATTCCTGACATGACATATACGACAGGTCCACCACCCTGTCTATTTTGGGCATGTCGACGAGGAGGACGGCATGCTTGTACTAAAATCACGTAATCAGCGTTTTCGGCACTGAGTCAGGTGTCGCTCATGCCAATAACCGGTCATAACACAATTCCTCTGGCCTTCCACAAAACCAGTATTGGCCACCTTCTGCTGTAGAACACTTGCTATGGTATCAAGGATGTACACGTAAGTAGCGTTTTCACTAGACAGAGGTAATGTTACCGGACGGCATTGCACATACAGCAATATTTCTTCAAGGCAAGGACAAACCACTAAAAACAGCGCAGATATTGGGCGAAAGCGGTGAGGGGTGACATATGGAAATAAAGAAACAAGTGATCTATGAACACTTGAATTTGCAAGCTTTCAGAGAGAACTCCTACAGGTCGAGCCTACGCTAATATTTAGCGTCCTACCGGACCGTTATAGAAAATGAACTTTGTCAGTTATCAGCAGAAGATTTTCGAAGTAAGCCTAAGACCGAGAAGTTTCTACGTTTTTGACTAATCAACTCAAGATCATCTTTTAACTTATAGGACCCTATGCCGCGGTATTCAAATATATCTGGATCCTCGGCGGTCGATGCTGTCCAGCCCTTAAGATGTCGGCTAATGTTACCACTACCGACACCCTTGTCGACTTTGCAGACAATTCCCTAAAAATCGATGATAAAAAAGATGCTGAAAAGATCGTCGAAGCCTTGAAAAAGTCTTTGAAAATGACTGCTTTGCGGCTTTCGGGGAACACTCTGGGCGTCGCTGGAGCCGAGGCCATTGGATTACAATTGTCTAACCATCCAAACCTCAGACGATGTCTATTTAGTGATCTTTTCACAGGTTCGACTTTAAGTTAAATCTTTAAGACATCAGGTCGGATGGTTGATGAAATCGCGCCCGCTCTGAGACATCTGTCTGCAGGTATTATTTCCGCGGGGGCGCAGCTGACCGAACTCGATCTGAGCGACAATGCATTCGGTCCTAGGGGAGTGGTGGGTGTGACAGAGCTTCTAAGCAGTCCTGTTTGTTATACACTGCAAGTAAGTCCCGAACTCACCGCAAACGACTTTGTAGATCTTAAAAATGAACAACCAAGGACTCGGACACCAAGGTTGCCGATACTTGACCGAAGCACTATTAAAGGGGCTGCGAGACAGTAAAGGCACCGGACTCAAACTTAAAACCTTTTCGGCCGGTCGTAACAGATTGGAAAACTACGGAGCGAAACTTCTTGCGGAAGTGTTTTCGGAAATGAAATCGCTCGAAGAGGTAAGTGGGGCACCCCTTCACCACCCTGTTTCATCTGCCTTTCAACATAAATCTAAATGGGTAGGTTCCAATCACATTGATTATATTTCGAGTTTCCGTTTGCTTGTGTCGTGGACGCCATTTTCTCACTGGATGTAAAGCGGAAAGCAAATGGATAGACCTGTTTTCTCCTTTGGAAGCAGAGGTTGCCATAAAGACACAGCATATAATTACAGAATAACGGTAGTAATGAAGCAAGTTTGGTGTGGTTTACAGCTATTAGAGGAATAAGTTTAGTATAATTCGGCTATAAATGAAAATTGCGTGGCAGTAACCAACGTGGTAAACAATGATGCAACCCGCGTGCTGGGTTGGTGTGATAAAAATAAAATAAATCTACATTCCGGTTATGTCAAAAATAGTTTCCGAGAAATACGTTCGCGATTTGTACTGTGCTTTGTCCGAGCAAACTCGGAGATCACGTCTTTTAAATTCGCGAACTTCATAGAGTCGTTTTGCAATACCTCACCTAACTTCGATGTGATTCACTATAGTACCCCCCTGTTGTGCTGTTCACGGACATGGCCACACAGATCTCTGCTGATGCGTCAAATAAAAAGTACCGCCAACATGGCAAGGAGGACATTTTTACTGATGCTGTCTACTCTCAGACCGAGCATTTCAAAACGGGTCCATAAACGGCTTGCGCCACTTTCCGCACTGTCGTGGGTTCTCCCCACGCATAAATACCCCCTCATATCCTTTTACTTACATGACTAATAATGCTCCTAGTATGTCCATTACAGAACCAAAATGAACTTAAACGTATCAAGAGTCAGGGCTCTACGATTTCCACGTGCCGGCGCCAAATTTCATGAATTAGATCACCTTCCATGATCCTGTCGAGGCCGATAGCCACCTACTATTCATGCTCTGCGCTCTGGAGCTGGTGAGATATTCATTGGTACAAATGGGAGTGACTGGGGCTCACTCTATCATCTGCATCTATGCGGCATTCCTCCCACACAGGACCATCTAAAAACAAAAGACAACAGATTTCTAGAAAATACGCCTTTGCTTTTAATGCATCCTCTCGCACTTCTTACAATCAAGACACCATTGCTTTGCACTTCCACAATGCTGAGCCTGTGCAGTAGCAAAAGTCGTCCTTTTCAGCACATTTTGCGGTGTATATTCCACTCCATTCTTAACAGACTTCTCGGCAGATCAACAACCTATTGCCTCCTACTTGCCGCCGTCTCCTTCTGTCCTCAAAAGCAAAAGAGCTTGCAATCGTATATTTACCTCAATTTGTTGTTTGGCTGCATATATTCACGACTCCATTAATCATGTGAACCTGTGGTTCATCTGTACGCACTGGCTACGGGCCACCGGGAACTATTTTTACTACTAGGGACCTAAAACTTTTTAAGTGGTTTTGACGGTTATTATGTGTGTGTTTGAAAGGGGCGAAAATGATCATACGCAAGTTTTCGATTTGTAGTGTTGGGTGGCCTCGAATCAGACTGGAGCTTAGAGACACCGTAGTGACGATTTTGTTCTTATCAATCCTCTCTCGCCATTGGGCATCGACCCTAAAAACAGGTCATTCATGTTTTCACTTAGCTACACTTGTACCAAAATGGAATCGGCATTCACGGATTAGATGGAATCAAGTGCCTGGTCAACGCTATTGCTTCGAATCCCAACCTACGTGTTCTAAACTTATCGGACAACTCTCTTACTGCTGATGGGGGAACAGAACTCGCGAGGAGCTTGTCACACCTTCCCTACCTCGAGGTTCGTCGATTCTTCACTTATCTGAGCCGCTATTTTTATCACCATTCTTTTCATTTCGACGATTTGTGCTATCATCCTTTCTGTATGGCACACTTTTTAAACGGCATACGTAGTTTCCGTGCTGGGTGTCATGGCAGAGAAATTATTCAGATTATTTTAATTACAGGAGCTCATCCTGGATGATTGTTTAATTCGAGCACGCGGTTGTCGCTCCTTGGCAAGTGAATTAGAACGAGAGGACGTGGTTCCCAATCTGAAATGTCTCCGCCTCTACGGCAACGAAATCACACGTGACGCGGGTGTCCACCTTGCCATCTGTCTTGCAGCAAAAACCAAACTGAAACATCTTAATTTAAATGCAAACGAATTTGGTTCCACAGGCATCGATATGGTCATACGCACCCTTGAGTCCATCGGTCTCATTGAAGCTCTCGACGTACCGCCAGCTGATTCGAGCGCTGAAGACAGTGCATCGGATGACCTTGATCCTCGACATCGTGCCTTCGATGAGGACCAAGGCAGTGATAATGAGGATGAGGAGGATGATGACGAAGAAGATGACTTTGAGGCAGGTGAATACAGTGGAAGTGAAGAGGAGGAGGACTTTGAGGATGAAGAGGCCACCCCCACACAATCGAGTTTTCACAGCGGTGGCAAAAGCGGTGATTCTTCCTTCCAAACTGTCAAAGAACGTCCCGTTGGAGGTCCTTTTGGATGCATACCAGGTAAGTAACCTATGAAACGTGTCGAGCTACTGTTTTGAGAGGAGATATCGTGCGCCCTTGTCAGTATTGTCTCGAGTTCTCATGTATTTAGCATTTCCAGTTCCACGATCTAGGTCATCGTGCGTTTCACACTATGGAAATTTGCATTAAAAATGTTGAGTGGGAGGTTTGAATTAGACTGCTACGTGAAGCCTTTGTCTGTGGACAATTAACTTAGACGTTTTGTACACAAAGAACCGATATTCCACCCTATATTTGCCTTCAGGAGCATGCTTTTTCGAAAATACTGACCCAATATATAACAAAAATGAACGATTAGCCTTTGTCTGCACAGGCCTTCTCAAACATACGAAAATGAACTTGGTAAAATGAGTCTCAACAATGCTTGCCATCGTATCTTAAAAACGAACTCTGATTTGCTAATTCTTATGGCAGCTCGACCGTCAGTTCCGACAATGTCGACGGTGTGCCTCACAGCAGGGTAGACGCAGGGACGGTGCCTCGTGCTTGACCTGGATAGTGGACTTGCGCTGCATCTGCCACGTCCTCTCTTCCTCTCCCATCTGGGCCTGGTTTCATGAGAGAGTCAAGAAGACCGGAGGCGAGATAGGATGCGGGTGACTGTCGCGGTGTGAATCCGTACATAGGCGTGCCACCACACCACCTAGCCCATGGACAAAGGGCCTGGATTTCGCATAGGAAAGGGGGGCAGCTCGGATCCCAACTGAGTGATAATGCCATAAAGGCCACATCATGAAAGAGGCATCACAGTCAAACCCCCAGTCCACCGTCTAATCATTCAAGGCTCTAACACACACTGGGCTGACTTTGAGGTCTGAGTTGAATTATCAGTCGGTAACCTTCCAAGGCACGGCTTTTAGTTCACCGCGTCAAATTGCCTGTATTGAAGAATATGCACTGGGAATCTGCCTCACTTGCTCTTACCTTACCCGTGCACCAGGCAACTGTCCGGGCCAGTTAATCACTTGGTGCTGAGAGTTGAAGAATGGGCTGACGGAGCTGAAAACACTCCGTCTGCGCGGGCCATATGACCTGTGCCCCGCACAGCACGCCAGAATTTCACATAAAGGGGGTGACCTGCTCGGATATCACACGTAGTAGAAGAAGCCACATGGAGGAGCACACTCTCCACTTACGTGACAGGCGCTTACTTCGTGCCTGCGGTATGTGATGTCGGACGTGTTCATATGTGATACATGTTTCGATAGGGAAATGTTTGCTGGCGTGTTTTGGTCTGTGTTGGCCTACCGTTGATTTTCGTGGAGACACATGTGACCGAGTAGGCCCATGCGGTGACTGAATTTGCGAAAGGAATGCGGACAGTCGAGGCTATGATGACAGGCGTATGGTAGTGCTCCAGGCACTGGTTCTCCAGTCTCTGTGCTGTGGATCCACAAGTGGCCGATGACGCCTATGTGTGATGTGCATGTGCAGTAGCAGTGTGAGCAGGATAGGTTGGGAGGTGCTGAGTCGGTGGTAGTGGTGGTGGTGCCGCTAGTGGTGGCCGCACTTGTGGATGGGGAGGTTGGTAGTGCAACTTATACGATAGCCTGACACACTGCCGACAAACCGGCTGATATCCTACGTCCAACCCATGCCTGCCCGTTGGCTTTCGGGCCAAACCTTGCTGGGTTAAGCCTTGCCAGGCTACAGAAGAACGCGAGTTGTCGGTTGAGGATATTGCTTGCCGCTGAGCAAAGTAGTGTGGGGCAGTCTGCGTCAGGGCTAAACGCTGACGAACAGGACACTCAATCCAAGTGAGTGGATTTGTTTGGTAATCTTGTTGATGGTCCGCATAAATCTGCCTTTGTCCTGTCTGTTTCAGTGCTTGATTCTGATCATCTTGCCCATTTTGTTAACTCTTGCTTATTGTTGTGTGATTAGTTTTGTGGTGTTGTTAGCCACATGATCTCAGAGTTGGGCTTGTGACCGAATATCTTATACAGTGGCATATGATGACACCGGGCCGTCGCGTGGGACAGTCGGGGTATTTGACAGTTTGCCGCAAAACATTCATACCAGACCGACACTTTTGTCTCAACTAAAGTTGTCTCTCGCGTGGAAGAGCTGTGGTTTCTATCAGGCAAGCTCCTCCCTGGATTTGGGACCACAGTCTAATGCAGATCACGCGAGCTCTAAAAATGTAACCGCCCACTAGCTAATGAATAGCCGGGGTGAAATCTTTGTCAGACACTGAAAGATATTTTCGATTTACAAATCTCCGTCATTTATTAAGCTAATTTTCTACGGGCACCACATTTACGGTAAGTGGCATCTGGCCATTCCAAAGTAACCCTTGCTATTGTCATCTAAATGACAAGACCCGTAATGAGTCTTGCCCTATTTAACTGGACTGGGCTGGCGCCAGTGCTGATTTAACCGGTGAGAATTTGCCATGTAATACCACTGTGGCCGGTGTCTTTCCCACAGGTAGTTGATTTGCCAAATGAAGTCTCCGCCGCGCCTGATTATCTTACAACTGCATGGTCTGCGATTTGCTCAATTTTTCACTAGTCGTCGCTGAAGGCTGTTCCGATATTCGCCACCTGTGGACGTGCTGGACAATTTGTAGCCGGACTAACGGGCAGACCGGGTTTTTATTGCAGATCTGACTGCTAGAAAATCAATTCTTCAACGGAACCAGGCATGCCTACCGTCCTCGCCATGTGTCGCGGGCGACGATGCCCATTTGTGCCCAACATCGTGGTGGACGCACGTGAACTAGCTTATAGTTATAGCGGACTTGCGCAGCGCCGACCGCACTCTCTCCATCCCCATCCATCTGGGTCCGGTGGTGAGACAGAGACAGGGCGGCCGTGCCACACGACCTGATCCACGCAAAATGGACCAGGTTTTCGCAGAACCAGGGGGTGCGGCTGGGATCCCACCCGAGTGGAATTGTCATAGAGGCTGCATTATGTGGGAGCCATTGCAGCCTGACTCTCAATCCACCGGTTAGCCACTCCACCCAAACGAGACTGACCACGAAGTTATCTATCATATACAGCACCGTATAAGAGCAGCCTGGTCTGTGTCCTTGTATCCAGTCCTGGGCCCCAGTCTCTATTGAGGATAGGAATCTGATATTACGCTTCCTGGTCTCCGTCTACATATTTTCAGGGTATTAATTTCTAGCCTTTTTATCTCAAGAGGCCTTTGTTTCCTTGGCCACCTCTTACGTTTTATGTTCTCTGTCCTGATTATTGTCTTTTGCACTCATTCCTAACCATGCAGATCACTATTCTCTACCTCAAACCCTAAACCCCCTCCTTGCTGTATCCTAACTTCAGCCAAATCATCGGAGAAGCAAACAGGAGCTTACCCCCAGACTGGAGGCGGTGTCTTCAGCTTTCGCTCCATCCTTTCCGACATTCAGAATGAGGCTAACGCAAATCACGGCACCGGTCTGTTCTCTGCGCTCGACAGTACTGATGCGTCAGCCTGCCGCAGCAAACTCTGGGCGAACGCTACTGCTGGCACCAAGGGCTCACCCTTCTCCGGCCTCTTCGCGCCTCCACGCCTTGGTACTGTTGTGACTCCTCCGAAGGAGACAACACCTGCCAATCCGCCATCCGGAGGCTTGTTTTCCAGCTCGTTTGCCTCTCAGCCGGCTACTATGGCATCGAACTTCAAGGAGGCAGAAGCTTTAGATTGTTTCAAGCAGTGTCTAGCATCACCCGAGGATGATACGCTTATGCGGATTTTAGCGGGTTCGTATTCACTTAGATAAGATTGCTCCTTAAAGCCTTTTCTTCCTGTCTCAGACTCTGTGGCTACTTCTTACGCGATCTGTTTCCACCATACTAACGAGGCGATATCCGATACCCCATACTTGTAAAACCCTTTTTTTTTACTGAAGTTCACTGAAATCTTGGGATGTCTTCAGAGAATTTCCCTTCGGTAGATTATGTGCTTGGTAATAGAAGCGTTTTGCACATTAAATGGGCAAAACCCTTGTCTACGACATTTCCTGCTACGAAGTAACACGGTATCACAGACTGCTTTATGTGGGCCTTTGCCATCTTCACAAAGTACAGTAATGGGCACGTGTGTTGTTTGCTATCTCGTAAGATGTTATTAAGCGAGCAAGAAGTAGCGTAACGGAAGCAAATTTTATTGACAACAGCGCGTTTTAGACCACGATTTAATTCTATAGGCAGGATTTGCGTGCTCACCTGTTTATCTTTTCCATTTAAATTTTCAGGTAAATTACCCTGTTGGAGCAAGTGGAACATCAGTGAGGCCACTCTGGTCGAAATTTCCCCGGCGCCTGAAACGCTTGTACGATTTGCTTTCCGCTTTGCCAGACAGCACGGATCGAATCCCAATCAAATGGATCTGGCGATCAGAGCACTTCTCTCAGCTTGCACTGCAGATTCCCATCCGGCGGCAGCTAAAAAGAAACAGGGACAACTAATCTCACTGTCTGGTCGTGCTGTCAATCAGATTTTAGTTCACTTGGGTGCAATGAAACCTGACCGAAGTGACCCAACTGAAATCAAGGCCTCGGAGGAGGTGCTGGTCTATGCGAAAACCGACCTGGAACTGCTCAAAAGTCTTCTCTCTCAGCACGGGTCGCGTCTAAATGATTCTGTTCGTCAGTCCTTGGCTCTGCTGCTTTCTCAGCACAAGGAAGCCCACCCGCAGGCTCCACCTATCGCTAGTGCCTTAGATGCTGTGTTGGGTGCTTTGGAGGACAAACTGGGCTCTCTTTCCGTGTCCTGAATAAATAACTGTTTAGATACTCTTTTGTACAGTTTTGAGAAGCCGGATTTTATGTTGACCTCTGAGCGTTTAACGTCTGAATAAAAATTCACTTTATTTTTCATTATTGACTTTTTACATAATCATCTTTTTACTCTGCCGCTGGGCGAATTGATCCTTCTTCAACTTATCGTTTGTTGCTTACAACAAGGGTTACTTTCGTTTTGCAAGTAGTATTTGTGCATAAATTAAGGGCGTCATGTTGTGTTCATTTGTATACTGTCCATAACTACGGGACTGAAGTAAGCTATGAGAAACCTCACAAGGTCTCTTGCTTCATCTGTCGAAGTATTCGAGGCATGTATATGTATAGGGTGGAGGTGTGAGTGCCAGATTCTCGTTGAACAGACTAAGTCGATCTCAGCTCGGGGTGGTTATCCCTTAGATCGACCTTTCTTAGAATATGCGTCTGGTGCGTGCACGTCTGTTTCAGATTTCTGTCATTCTTTGCCTAAAAATACCGCGACTTTTTAGCAGTAAGTACCACGAATGCGGAGGGTCGTGAGCTCTAGACGCCTTCGGCTTTTCCTCTCTGGATTGGCTGCATTTACTGCTGGTTCTCTGACAACTGGCGCGGCCTTTCTTCTCTACGGCCTCCCTCCTGCTTCTGATGACCTGCAGCTCTTCAAAAAAGCATTGTGCAGAACCGCACCTGTTGAATCTCGTTATCCGGTTGGCGGTGTAGGTGACACAGTCGATAGCAGTTTTTTCAGACCGGACGCACTTCCCTCGGTATTCAGCAGGGATGGTCCACTTCCCGACGCCGTCGCATATGTCGGCCTTCCAACCGCGGAACCCGTGAAGATTCTCCCAGGATTTCTGCTTTTGTATGATCGGCGTACCCGCATACCACGCTGGACTTTGGAGCATCTAACGCCCGAAAGATTCAAAGGTGACGAAACTGATCTGGTTGACCGGTAAGTTAGGTTCAATCTTTTGATTTTCGAGGCACGTGATTCGGAAGTTTGGACGTTATTTTTTAATGTCGTCACGTACTGTCAAACTTCGATGTTTACGTAGTGGTTTATGGACAATCAAGTGATCTGATTTTTTAACTTTTTTGAACGTGACTATCCCTAATGACCGTTCTATCCGTTTTGATGGCCACATTGCCTGCTCCGCCGTAGACTCAATCGAAGTTGATTTCAATGTTGCCGTCACTGCTAAACGTCGCTAATGTTCCTGTTCGTATTCGAACAACCCTCGTTCTTTTATTCTCAAGGTGGTAGGCCTATTTTCCTTTTTAAATAACTTTCTCTTGGCTGGGCTTTTCATATGAACGCCAGGATACCTTCCCAGGGTTTCTGGAGCATGTCAAGGTTCTTGCTGGCCAGTACATAAACCCGTCCATTGTTTTGCTGCGGTCCTGGGAGAATAAGCGGTGAACCATGACTGAAAAGATACTGGAGCCCGAAAGGCATGCACTTGCGTGGACAACACTCACAATGACTGCTTCGACCGAGTGCATGCTGCACGTTCCGCGCACCGTGAGTGACTACCTTCCGTTGCAGTCAATCTGCGCCACCAGAAATGCCCTGAGATCTGCTTTCACCATGTCCGCTGATGTCTCCGGTTGGCCATCACGGCGCCGTCGCCAAACATGACTGAGCTCGGGTGAGTTGGCATCTCGAGCGCAGCAAATAGCCCAACCATTTCGCTCTACAAGTACGGAGGGCGCATTTGACTGGTTCAGTTCCTGAAAAAATATTTAAGTATTCTTTGGAGACCTCAACGAAGAGACGATCTCGTAAAATGCAGCGCAGATACCACCGATCGAATATTCCTGGGCAGTGCGAGTCATCGGAGCATGCGAAGTATGTCTCACATGCTCATAGAGTTGTAATGACGAAAGCAGCGCATGCTATCAGTTTTGTCTCCAGACTGATATCACCGATTCCAGAGGTTTTGACAAAGTTAAGCGAGGGCCGTGCTCGTTTAGCCAATTTTATGATCAAGTTTCGCTTTATGCGGCGCATTCGGCAGAACGTTCGGCCCACGTCAGCAGAAGCCGTTCACCAGCTCTAGATCTTCATCGCATACGGTGACTTGGCGAACGTACTCCATCACAAATCTCGAGAAAAACACACTCGTTTCAAACTCTTCCGCTACTTTTGCGCCTATCCGAGACAGCGTACTGCATCTACACAAAGGAGCTTACGAGCCTCCCCCTCCCTTTCAAGATCCACGACCGGAGGGCGGCTTCCCAGCACGTGCTGACAAACCCACTTCGCCAATTAGTTGAACAGATTTAGGGAGAGGATGCAGGCGCGACGGAGGCCGAAGGCGATATCAGGGAAACAACTCGCCTCGGCGTTTACACGTAATTTGGCCCTTGTTTCATGGCAGTGAACTTAAATCAACCGATTTCAGCAGCATGCCACGTTGCACCATTAATCTCCTCCGAAATTAGCGCGCGAACTTGGAGCAATTCCTTCAGAATGAAACTTCAAGAGCTCATTTCGAAAGTTTATGTAAATGCTTGGGCTGAAAGCGAGAATTGGTGGTCAGCTTCCCGCTTGATTTTTATCCGTACATCACGGTTGATGGGTGGGATTTTTCTGGTGGTGTGAAGAAAACTCACGCCACGCTAGTCCCTGCACTGCGGTCTACCGCCCGTATTGAAAATCCCGGCCAGCTGAACAGTGTTTCTCAATTTCCGCCGGAAGGTAATCCTAGCCAGGCTCTTTGTCACTCTTCAGTTTTGCCATTGTCTCAAAGATCCCAGTATTTTGTGGGTTGTCGTGTCACTCAGAGTTGGGTGCTGCAGCCGTCTGGACATCAGTTGAGGAGGTGGAGACTGTTAAACTCCGATACTGGCAAAACATCATCTTCCGGCGTACGATGTACAACACTGACGCTATCAGCGTACTTTGATTATCTGGTCTCGTTGGGGCAGAGAGAGTAGGTGACTGGTTGATTTTTGAAGTCCTGTGTAGCCCCCCTCGTTTGGCCATTAGGTGAAACACATTCAATAATTCGGGGATTTTTACTCCAGTGTCCATCGCGGCCGTGACATGCCGAGCGCTTGGCTGCACGACGCAGGTCTCTAGATTTCAGACCGTACAGAAGATGAGTAGCTCATGCTTTCTCCGCCAGTCGTATCGTTTCATTAGAAATCAAATTGTTGCGACAACGTCTCTTGTGACCTAGCACGTCCTGGAAGGTACCTTAGGCAGTATGCTTCAGTTCAAGCTGGTCTCATTGTGCTGAAGAGGCCTCAAGGTCAGTTTTCGTCCGTTTCAGTTTTGCACAGCTTTTGAGAGACAGCCGGGCAGCAGCAACAACAGCAGAATCTTTGAGATGGTTTGAGTTGTAGCCGGACCCTCAAAAGCGTTGTCAGAGCCATTGTCGCGGCCATTTTCGACGCCACATACTGCGCGGGAGGTTACGTACTGAGCCAGTCAAGCCTTCACTGACAAGCATGTGGACGTGCCCGTCGGTGGACATCGTGGGACACGACGGTCAAACTGTCGACTTGACAACTACAAACATCATAGGGTGTCGGAAGCAGATATCCGTAACCACCAAACTGTTCAATGCATTGGAATTAAGAAGTCTTTCATCGATCACACAGCGGTTTAGCACTGTGTAGCGCTCAAGGACTCTTAGTGAGTGCATTACATGTCTCCATCGCGGTATTCCGATCCCCTGTAACTGCAAGGTACCACATGAAACACGACTGACAGGAGTATCTGAACACCCTTCAACATACCATCCCCATCCAACGTCAGGACGTAGACTGCAACAACTTCGATGGTGACAACTGCCTCACGGAGACGCAGAAGTTCACAGTTTCCCAACATGTGAGTGAAACTCTGGCCTGATGCCTCACAGCGATTGCGACACCATGTCGACTTGAGTGGTTACTGACACTGCTGTGATGTAGGTAGAAACGTTTCCCCACTCACGCCTGCTATACAAGCCATTATTTTGCAAGCACGCCTCGGAGAGAATGTCATTGTTGGTGGGGGGCGCTCAGCGATCGTTCTTACGGAACTCACTCGTTCCTTTGTGCCTTACGGGCTCTCTCTCGAGCCCAACCAGCAGCCGCACAGCGGCGCATGACATATAGGCAGAATGTCATCTTCACAGTGTACTGCACCAGTCTCCTCAGGGTGAGTCTCTGCATTGCCAGTGCACAAAGAGTTTTCTCGTTCCATCGTTCTGTATTCAGTTCTTTTTTCATGAAAGGTCATCTTGCATATTTAATATCCAGCGCACTGTCAAAGGTTCGGAGGCGGTGTTTGTCGCGAACGCCGTATCATGAGTCAGGATTCGCACCTAGAAAATTTGCATAAGATGGAGATTCAGGGGTTTGGTGCAAGTCGGGCCATCTAGTTCTTAATTTGCACCTTAGATTAGGTTGCAGCTCGCAAGATAGCGGAGACTGGAAGAACTTGCTTAATAACTGTTCTCGCTCACCGTTTCGCAGCGTTATCATCGGACTCTGCGACATTTTACACGGTAGTCGGTTGGTAGACCCTAATCCTATACGCCCTGCTATCACTGTCGTTCTTTATAGTGTTGTTAGGGCAAGCTGGGACCTCTGCTGATGGACACATAGACCCCCCCACTGCCATTCTTTCGGCTTCAGTGAGGGAGTGGTTAAATGTCCGGATGCTGTCCCTTGATCGCTGGAGGCAACCAACTTCCATTTTACTTCTGAGGACTTTTCTTACTTTTGGTACGCGTCGGGCAATATTGGGATTTGACTGTTTAAAAATTCATTTCATACCCTTCTGACATTCACAGTTCACGCTTCGAGTTCTTCGAGGATCAGTCCGAAAAGGATCACCTGAGGTCCAGCAACCAGGACTACTTTCGCAGCGGTTTCGATCGTGGACACATGGCTGCGGCAGGGAACCACAAATTTGACTCAGCAGCTATGGAGAAGTCCTTCGTCCTCAGCAACATTGCTCCCCAGGTAGTTTCTCCATGCTCTTGCCGGATAAATCAAGCCTAGTTCCATTAAGTTTTCCAGATAGGGATTAAAGGAGTCGACATTTCGTTGTCCTAAGGAGACCGTTCGACAGAGTTCAACAGCTTTCTCTTTATTGCATATTTAACTAAGGGTTTCATTTACTATGGAATCGTTGACTAATTTGCCTGGCATATTTGGGAACCGTTCTTCACTCAGCAACCTACCTAAACAAACAAAGGAGACTGGGATGCCCATTGATGACTTATTTCTCGGCCTCCGATCTTATGTTTACATCAGTAGTAGGGCTTACCTATGATGGCGATCAATTCAGAGACTGTTCGTCCAGCCTCCCATCCTTGTCGGTAACACTTATGCAATGCCGAAACACATTTCACCGGCCTAAGGAGCACTCATGTTATGTTCTTTGCGGGTTGAAACTTGTTGTGTGCAGACTCAACATGGGTCAGTTCTTTGAGCGGCAAGAACCCTTGGAGAATAGCGTACATGCTTTGAGACACGACGAGTGTTTAGTAGGAAATTCTCAAACCGCACTTTAAACTATTTTCTCTTTCCTCGACGTCCCAGTAATAGGAGAGGTGAGTGAGGGATGGAGGCGAATTTGCTAACAACACCTAGAACGATCCTACCCTTTCTGATCGCGTTAGTGCTGTTTTTATCCACACTTCTCTTGATTGCTGTCGGATGAATTGAACACGCCGCCAATGCCCATCCGTGGTTGCTGTTCAACTCATTTCGACATGGTCGCCACCATTCGACATCGCTGCCTAAATCCTTTCCCCCCTCGATTGTATTTTCTTTAGAGTAGCCCTACCTTGGGCCGGCGACCTCATCCCCGGCCTCTGAGATTGGATCGTCTTTCCACTTATCTATTGCAGCTTTTGTAAGGTCTGTTATATGGAGCATCTTACAATTGTTCTTCGTGCATATAAAGTAAATGGAGTCGCTCCACTTCCACTATCAGGCCATTATCTACCGTATTTACGGGAACAGGAGTACACGTCAGGCGATAGAGTTGCGTATTTCAAGAATCCCTTCCACCACAGTTTCTCCTCTAGGTCTGACTTGGAGTGGTGCTAATGGTAAATATTTAACGTACAGTTGGGTAGTAAGGGCTCTTTTCGACCGCTAGAGAAGTGAACTTTGTAGATCACTAGAGCAGTTTTTGTTTGTTAGCACTACCCGGTAGGAGTCCGTTCTAACGGACTTTTTTCTTTCTGCCCTCCAAATATGCGGGAAGGCCTTCTACACAACATCTTTGACCAACCGCAGAGGCCTTTCGATGGTTTCGGAAAACGTGCACCTTATTACTTCATGTATGTTGTAACAAGCCCCCTGATCAGTCGAATATTTCGGCTATGAAATAGCAGAAAATATGGCTCCTTTTCCAGTCACATTTGAGATAACTTTTTGCGAAGGTGACACGGTCGCTCCCTGGAAGTCGCATCTCCGCTCCTATCGATAACTTTGGCACATTTATCGGAAAAAAGTAGCCCTACATCATTAGAACATCATAGAATAATGTAATACCATTCACATAAAAATGACAGTTGTCGCATTCTTGTTTGCTAGGCGGACTAATGGCGATTCCGTCTTGTCTTAGAGCAAAGGAAGATAAGGGGAACTTAGAATATTCGTTTCAGGCTTGGTTTCCGTCCTCGGTGCGTATAGGACCTTCTCCGCATGGGATTGGAGTATGGCTATCGATAACGACAAATAAGTTCGAAATTGTTATCCCAATACCCCTGTCTTTACTGATAACGCTTCATGATTGCCTTCAGTACAGTAAGTGGCATATATCTTGAAATGTCAACGAAAAGTCGAATTGGTTTTCGGTTAGGAAGGGTTACCTTAGGTGCAATTATAAAATGGATTGCCGTGTTGCATAATCCCGCGGTAATTTTCACGACAGGATGCCGGCATTTTAATGTGCTTCTTTCCGTCCCCAGGAAAAAACCACATTTGGCAAAAACATCTGCTCAAACAATCTGACTTCATTTCCGTTAATTTTCAGAGCCCTGACCCTAACCCTAATCTCCCTGTAATTTAGCGCGAAACCAACTTTATTATGGCGGGGATGTTTCTATTCCCGTGACCTACCAAAGGTACATCAAAGTATTCTTTATTATACTACTTTGGCATTAAATCACGTCCTCTTCAATTTTTTTACTCAAGGACGGGGTATCTTTTGGTTTCAAGAAGTTTTTTTTCAATTTAGGAATAATTGTGAACTTGGTCTACTGTTGTACCAGCTTCTAGGTTTTCCAAACCACAAACTGCATACTTTCCGTATTAGCAAAATAATGGTATTAAGAAGGTGACATATAGGGTTTATAAGATTTTGCGGCATATCCGTACCCTGTATGATTGGACACTTCATGGTCATAAAAATCTTATAATTACTACCTTTTTAAAGCCGAAAGATACACTGTCCTCGAGCATAAAATGTACGATGGCATAATTTACTGCAAAATGAGTACGATATTTTTATCCATGTTTATGAAGTATATTTGGATTTACAAGGACATCGAAAATCAATGATGCAATGTATACAACTTAAACAGGCATCTTTAGCGAGTGTGGTTTTTTGTTGAGGCCGGAAAGAGACGCGTTCGAATATCGACATCCTGTTCTGAATGAACCGTCCTTGCGTTTTATTATACGATAATCCGGCTAAGTGCTCCTTCCTTACCGAAAGCGAACTTCAGGACTTTAGTTAACAGTTCATGAGAGATGCCACCTACTGTGGTTTTCTTCCTTTCTCCTGTGAATTATCGAGTAAATTCCGTCTGAAAAACAGTGTACGAGTGTCTGGCTTAACTTTAGCATGTGCGCCGTCTTTGTGCACACTTCAACTGCGCTGCGCAATATTTTTAAAAAAATCTGGGGACATATTTTGGGATTGTGGTCGACACTTCATGAGCTCCAATGCCGCAGCTACCGTCTCCGTCGTTGAACGGCAGCGAATGTACTTTCGTTTGCTATCTATTAACGATACCCTCGTTTGCGCAATGACGCACCGAATTTTCCATTAAACATTTTCCGGACCACCAGCGGACTGCCTACCCGGCTTAAAATTATGATGGCTTTCCAGCTTTTTTTTCTCGGAATACAATTGAACCTGCACCGATAAACTCAATGGGAATGACTTTTACCGCTTGCGTTTTTGTGCACTTTGATTAGGGATTTAGCAGGGCGATTTAAAGACCTTTGATGGAATAATGTAACGCTATGCGCCTCATGCATGCTTATGCTAACGCCTCAGTCATCTCTTTCGGAGAAGGAAGAAGGCTTGCTGTGACCACCACCTCTCTTTTTAAGGAGGATTTTAAAACCGCTTTTGTTCCTAACTGTTTGCAACTTATAGCTTTCTCATAGCTTTCACAGTTGGGTCAATATGAATTATAGCTTTCTGTCAGAAAGTGCATCGCAAGCCATCAGCTGATAGCGTTTTCTGCATTTATCTACTCCTGTCCTTCAGACCTCCCTCACCTTTCCTCTGACGTGAGTACACTCATGAAATGTTAGCCGATGTTCTTAAACATGTTTTCGATTAGAAAGGATAATTTAAGTGGGGTTGTAACGTTTATTATCGCGTAAAATATCCCAAAGGTGATTCAGTCACGCCAGAATTCGGCATTTGAATGCACTTTTTTCCACCCGTCTGCAAAAACTGCACTCGGTAAAAATGACTGCCTACGTAGTATGCGTTCTTTCTATTAATTTTCGATGCCCTCACAAATTGGAATATATTTTGTAAAAAGCAGGGGCAAAAACATTGTCCCATATTCTAATCTGGTCACGAATTATGTCTTCTCCAAATTTTATACCCGAAGAAAAGGTGTCTTTTGGTTTCAAAAAAGTTTGTAATCACGATCTCGTTTATGACCGTAAACGTTTGGTCAACTAACACCGTTTCTGTCCGTTTATTAGTGCACCTTACATAACATATACAACATACACAACACAATCAACATCCATTGCAGAAGTTTATAAGCTCTATATGGTATCTTCTTAATGACATGAAAAAGTGTACGATTTTTCTTACACCGAAAGTATGCAGCTTGTAGACTAAACCCCAGTCGTAAATGCAGACCGAACTCGGAATTTTTTAAGAACTGAAAAATGGTAAGAATCGGGAGATGGCACCCAAAAATATCCGCCTAACCAAAGCAGCCTGTGTTACGGAACAGGTGGCAATAGGGATTTTATGGGTGATGGCTGGTGAAGATGTACGATACTAGCTGACAGAAAGCCTTATTTGAACATGTGAATGATCGAAGTTGGCCCGCTTTCCGTTCCGTTATTACAAAATGAGTCGCCAAAGGCAGTATAATAGTAACGGACGAGTGGAAGGCGTATAATCGTCTTCCCTCAGAAGGTTATCAACATTTCTCTGTTAACCACTCAAAGAACTTCAAGGACCCTACCACCGGACGGCACACCAATGCCATTGAGGCATACTGGAGTAGACTGAAGAGGAAACTCCCCGAGGGAGACCCTGTATGTGGTCGAGCTGTGTGGGCTCACATAGACGAAGTAGAATATCGTCTTTGGACTGACCTGAGTGCCATGTCTTTGACAGATGCCTGGGAAATGTTTCTGTCCCATGTTGTCCAGACTTACCCGATTTAAAAGTGATTTTGTTTTGTAATAAACTGCCATAATGCGAATGTATGCCGTATATTCAGGTGTATGTGTGTAACGATGGGGAAGGTTGGGTAATAGCGACCATCGTCCGTATAACCTGCGATGTTCGTTCGGCCAGCCCACGTTAGGCCGTCGGGGAAAGTCCAAGTAGTGTGTGAAGGTAGGCCTGCAACCACTGATATAGCCTGCAGGCGTTTGAGTCCACTGTTAGAGGTATTATTTCTAGGTAACGGATTTTTTGGGTGCCACCTCCCGATTGTTACCCTGAAAAATTTTAAAAACCTTAATATACCCTTCCTTTAGGTATAAAGGTTGACGAGGACGTGATTTGCTATCATATGAGTAAAAAATGGATATTTTCTGACAAAGTTTTCCATAAGATCTATTTGAATTTAATAGGGCCATCGAAAAGTAATGGAAAAGTTATCATCATTCCTTACCGAGTGGTTTTTGCAGGCAACCTAAAAGGAGTGCATCCAAAAGCTGGCATCCTGGTGCGACTGGTATACCTGGGTTTCTGCTGCACAATAATCGATATTACAACCCAACTAAAGTATTCCCTTCCTAATGGAAAACGCATTTCAGAGTTATGGTTAACATTTCACGAGATTTTTCTTCCAAGTAGTATTGCTAGGACAAGGAGCCTGTGAGGACGATTTCTGACTTCTCGGTCTTCTCAATCTAGCCATACCCGCACGTTAGATGGGATAAGGCTGCAAATGCGGAACAGTATGAAAGCCCGTATTCCACTCTGCACTAAGACCAAATGACTGAACGCTTCCCTTTTGTTCCTAGAAGTTTTAGATTTTAAACCCGGTCCTGGGTGTTTGTTGGCCCTCCCTCTACGACGGAGGGCCTAACAGAATACATTCGTGTTACTTGCGTTGTGTGGGACGCATGAGGCTTGTCTATTTTCCTTCTTTTTGCGTTCGCGCGGGATTCATTGCCCATGTCCCTATTTGCCTTCTGTTTCAAAGGTAGGCGTCGGATTCAATCGTGGCGTTTGGTCGGACCTGGAAAAGTATGTGAGAGCCATGGCTCGTCGGAGCGCCAATGTAGTTGTCCTCACAGGTCCTCTCTTTCTTCCCTCGTAAGTGTATGGCGCTGTTTTTCTTAACTCCAATCCAGAAAAAATCGCCCCCTTCTACCGTGGGCAGTGTTTCCTTTTAAAGTTCACTTCAGTGGCGCATGTTGCCGAAGATGACTCTAGATGGCGGAATTGTTGGATTTACCAATGGCAGCAACTGTAATCTGTTCAAGTAAAGACGCAGGAGGAAGATACCACATTCTTGGTAGATGAATGGAAGTCACCAAATCCAGCCCTTCTGTGCGTACGGAGTCGTGAAAGCTGCGCTTTTCTACCCGGGAGGCCAATCATCAGTCATTGTGTTCACCGAGGCTGGTGGATGTATGGTGTTCTCTTTGAGGGGTAGTTGCTTCGGTGTACGAACAGCCACCAAATCTGTAGTTTCACTTTGGTTTCAGACCTCATCTATTGCTTCACGACTCTGAGTCGGGTTCAGCACCCACCCCCGTTAACTTCTTTGACTGACGAATGAGACCGGATGATGTTTACCGGTGTGTCTTTAACCCTCGTAATTTTTTGTCCGAAGTCAGGTTGTATTTTTGAGAGTGCACCGACCTTCAGGATACCAAATTTGTTTTGACTCAGCAGGCCATATAAAAGGTAGTCTCGGTCACAGACATTGGGCTGTCGAAGTGCCTGCTTTTCTCAGCACACAAAACCCTGAACGTTAAACTTGCATAAAATAAACATCCTATTCTGAATATCTGCTCGGTTTGTGGTACGTAGGTGTTGCACCCTTTTGTTCTCCCGGCGTTTAAGTGCCTCAGGACGACTGATGTTCCAACTCTGATTTCGTTCTCATTTCAGACCTGATCGCAGTCCTGCCAACCGTCGCCAGGTTACTTACGAAGTGATTGGTTCGAACGGCGTGGCGGTACCCACCCACTTCTTCAAGGCGGTTGCTGTTCAACAGTCTCCCGGGGGTCCCTGGAAGACGTATGCCTGGGTACTACCGAACAGAGAGCTGCCCGAAGGTACTCGCCTTAACACTTTCATTGTGCCTCTAAAGGATCTGGAGCGTGCTGCTGGTCTCGAAATCTTTCCCAACCTCTACAAGTCTTGATCCTGTTCTTCCTGCAGCTAGCTCTATGCTCTTAACCCCATGGTAGTCTGCGCATGTACATCTGCTCAGCGAGTTTCCCGGGACATGCTGTGATTTGACAGTTACTATAAGCGCAGTCATTTTAAAAATTGTCAGTTTTTTACTTGCTCGTCTAGCTGGCCTGCCTAATATCTGGCCTGTAAGACTTTTTATGAAATCTACTTTTGTGACTTATTACAAATATCTTCTGAACTCACAGCGCTCTTTAGTTGCTTCATTTTATTTTTTTGGGCCACTCAGTTGTGGTAGTTGACCATCCTGCGTTGCGCATTCGTATTTGGTTCATTGTTTGCAGCAGATTTGTCTCTCTTCATGCACTCGGTCGGCAAGTGTTTTTTACCTGACATCGACTCCTGTGCTACGTCCATGGTTTAAAAATTCCTCGCAATGTATACTGCATCCGACCTTTTGGCGCGACTGACCGTTTTTCGAATTTTATTACCGGAAACGAATCATTTTCTTACAAAGTAAACCGGATCTGGTGCAGGTGCGGGCAAAAAATCGTCGTAGAAACTGGAAGACTTGGTTTGACGCGGATGCCCGAACATTCGGCAGCAGTAAGAAAAAATGACACCCATATGTTATTACTGACAAAGACAAGGGAGACTGGAATGGCCATCTCTGGCTTATTATTCGTCGTCAGCCAGTCATACCCAACCTCGAAGTGTGTCGCACCCGAGGCTCGAACTCGCGACCTGTTCGTTAGAAGTCCACGCCTCCAACCACTGGGCCATGAGCCCGTTGTCACCAGCTGTCACGCCGCAGCTCGTTTGACGGGACCCGGCCACTCCTTCAAGTTCAACGAGGCCTAAATTTTTCCGAGAGGTGACAGCCGCGTGGGCTGCGAGCTGGTTAGATCATGGTTTTCGGCCCACAGTTTATTAATTAGTGCACTGACCCATCGCCATATCCGCTGCTAAAACCTTGCTTGAGCAGAGTACTTAGCCAAAGGGACGAGCATTGTTCTTGATGCAAGCGTTAGTGAGCCCAGTAGCCCAACTGTTCTCACGCCAGCAACCTGCAGGAGTGAAGGGATTTTCCTAGTTTACGACGGGTGAGGGCAACTTAGCTATCTTCGCGCCAGGGAAAACTATCTGCTATGAATGCGGGGTTGTTAATGTTGGCAGGTGTGCTGTGACATGGCGGCTGCATTCTGCACGTACCACAATCGTGCATTCATTATTCTTGTCTGGTACCACCTATGATGGCATCGAGTGCGAAATCAATACGTCGGGCGAATAAAATTCCTGTCCCATCGATCTCGTCCACTCAAATTTTTCCTGGATCTCGAATATTCACTTGTAGCACGGGGAAATTATTTGACGTGCCACGAACTTTGGTAGTGACCTTACTTGGATTGATTCGCAATGCACTCCTGGCAAATTCGGCGATGCTGAAACAATTGGTTGAAGTTAGAAAGGAGGTTCTGAATGATTGTGCTCGTTAGCTACAAAGTGACAGAGCAGACTGATGTCTGCGCCTTTGGTATGCCAAGGGTACTCCAAAAAGACAGCGTGCTTTACAACAGATAGCGAATTGCGGTGAAAAGTCGGGCCTGCTTTGTTTCTGCAACGGAAAAATCGTCGGGCCCGTCAGTTAGTCCTTCTTGCGGGTTGTTCCGACCGGCCGTCAATATTTTGTCCCTCCTATTGATAGGGTGACTTCAGTTCCAGACCTTTATCCGCACCCGTCTCTGATGATGGGTTCGAGTGCGGATCTGAAACGTCAGACCAATAAGCTTTTTGTTCCGGTGATCGCATCTTGTTCTTCCCCTGTACATTCTTTCAAAAGAGCAAAGCCTATCCAGCCTAATCCGCCTTCGCTCACTTGTGATTTGGGAATCTTCGTGCTGCCAATCACGTCTTCTTTAGCTGCCGCTATTACTGGGCACTAAAGGGAGCGGTGCGGCGGTTTCACGTTTTTCACCACCGCTGAACACTAAAAAAAGGATTAGGGGGACATTTTCATGTTTTCACTTGCCAAATGTTGGGCAGTCAGGGTGAGTTACTACATTGCTGACAAAGGAGGCCGCCAACAATCCAAATTATGACCTCAATATCCAATGGAATTTGTCCATATTATGACAGCCGGTTGGAAATTAATCTTTCTGGAAGTACAACAAATTTTGAAGACTGCTTGGCGAACAACGGTTGACTTCCGCTAAGCTGTTGTTACCTACAAAGACAAGGGAGGCTGGGATGACCATTTCTGGCTTATTAGCCGCCGTCAGCCAGTCATGCCCAACTCGGATACGTGGGACACCTGAGGCTCGATCCCGCGACCTGTTAGTTAGAAGTCCGGCACCTCTAACCACTGAGGCGGGACCGAGCCCAAGTGTTCCACACTTCGGCGTTGGGTATGGCTGACTGACGACGGCTAATAAGCCAGAAATGGCCATTCCAGTCTCCCTTGTATTTGCCGGTAATAACATTCTGCATACATCATGCGCCTCTGTGCGGACAAAAGTTGACTTCCGCTAAACTGTTATCAGACCAGCACATCGAAATGGTAAGGGGGTCAATTAAAACACTCGGGTAATTAGGGAAATCTAGTTATGTTCACTTTTCACACAAGTGACATGTGGGGAGTATGAGAGAATGATTACGGACATTCAGCGTCAGTGTAGTCAGCTGATGATGGTTAACGTGGATGGGGAGTGTTTGAATGAGCCTTGTCAAGACTGACGGGAGTTGGGCGTGGAGAATTGCGCGCACACTAGGTTAACTGACCTTTGACCATGGTAAATGAGTAGTCTGAACAAGGCCCTTCTGTGCACACAGTATCTTCCTGTATAACCTGTGATTGCTAGTAGGCGCTATCCTGAGGATCTAAGGCACTTTGGCGGAAAGACTTTGTTTGATCAATACGGTGCCAAGGACCAATTAAACTAGTGAAATTGCGCTGCTTACTATCCTAATTCTAGCCTTTCTCTGCCGTAGTGGTGGGTCTTTACGTATCCTTTTGGACAGGCGCTGACTCATGCGATTATTACAACCTGCTCCACGGGAGTAACGGAAGGTAGGTGGTGTACAGCCAGAATAGAGACTGTCAGGATTCGACAAGCAATTTTTCGAGACTTGTGAATATTTCTCGTTTTGGTTTGTTTAGGACAAAACCAGGATTTCATCAAGTCCCTCCCTGATCGCTTAAGTGGATACTGCTCAGCAAACGAAAATAACAGCTTCCCAATTTGTGTACAAAGTTCTGTTGGGGAATAGGAGTGAAGTAGGTGTGCGCAAGCCCACAATCACTATAAACTAATTCACGCACAGGTCGCCGTGCCCGTTGCACTTTGGTGTGTAGCACAGGGTGGACATAGTCGAAATTGACGATCGAATTGGCACAGAGTTCTGATAAACCAATAAAAGTCCTGTTCTGAGCGCCACTTGGCAACAGTGAGGGCGATTGTGATCAAAAGTTTGTTTGTCACGGTGTTGCAGTCACCATGGCCACAATGAAACTGGTTTGTCCCACCGGTTTGAGTTTCGAACATTCGAACGAACAGTGTGTCACGACGGCTGACTTGTTACCCTCACACTTCCGCCCCTCGTGCCAGGCCATCAACAAACTCACTTGTATTCGCAGTCTGTTTTTTGTTTCACATTACACCAATGACCTTGTATACCCATCCAGTTTCAGTAGTTGGCCTATCTCGTGAAATGTTGACGAAAATTTCGAACTGTGTTTTCGATCAAAAAAGATTACATAGGTGGGATTATGATGCCAAATAATTTGCTGAGTAGTCTCAAGACCCTTTAGTCACGATGGAACTTCGACTTTTGGATGAAATCCTTTCCGGGCGCATCCAAAAACATCATACAGTTGAAAATGACTACTTAAGAAGCAGCACTTTCACACTGATTTTCGACGCCCTCTTAAATTTGAATTATTTTTTAAGGAAAAATGAACAAAATGTGAGCAATACATTCGAATTAAGTGGTCCTTTTTATCAGGTGCAGTTTTCTCAGACACCCGGAAAGTAGTTCACTCGAAAGCCGGAATCCCATCGTGACAGATATATTTTATTACAACCTCAACTAAGTAATCTTTTCTAACCAAAAGCCTGTGGTAAGGTACCTGACTAGTTTACCTTTGAAAAATTAGTCCCATTTTCTTTGACCGGATTGCTCGTTTGAATGTGACGAGGAACGACACACCCGTACAACCCGCGTTGTTAGCGTGCTCCTCTGTCGTGGTCTGTTGTCAGTTTTCTTAACGTTCAAAATCTCTATATTATTCACTTCTCCGTTTTACTTGCTGCCTTTAAGGCTAGGGGCTCGTGAGATATAACTCGTTACTTCGTGAGAACATTACGTTTTTACGACATTGGTGACCCCGACGTTAACGCAGACCTTATACCTTTCTGTCATACTGGATAACATTTAAAGTACCATTTGCTTGTGAATATCTATTCTATTTACATTTAATTTTCTCACGAATTCTGATATTTTGCCATCGCTGTCTTATTATGTCTCACTCCAATCAACAACTTGACGCCCCTGCCCAGTCCCTTCATGCAATCAATTTTACCTCGTCCGAATTCTGGCAACACGCTCCAGAACTTTACTTCATCCGCGTAGAATCAGCCTTTTATTCTGCCAACGTTACCGAGGAACTAGCAAATTACCACAAACTTGTGGAGGTCCTCCCCGCTAGTGTCATTTCTCAAGTTCAGTCCTTGCTAGCTAATCCTCCTGCAGATGCTCCCTACTCCACGTTAAAGGCGGAAATCCTCCGACTTAATTCTGTGTCTGACCGACAGCGGTATCACCAGTTAATTGAGTAGGAGTCACTGGGTGACCGGAAGCCTTCAGAGCTTCTACGTCGAATGTGATCTCTCCTTGGAGACATGCAAGTTGATGATAAATTTGTCAGGGAGATGTTCCTGGAGCGTCTGCCCGCAGATGTTCAAACGATCCTGGCTTCCGGCTCTCAAGACCTTACGGTCTCACAGCTGGCTGAGATGGCGGATCGAATGATAGAGGTGCAGCGATTCCAGTCACCTTCCGTTGCCCAGATCTCCTCATCTTCATCGTCAGTGAATGAAAATCTAGTGAAACAGGTGTCGGCCATGGCGGCTGAGATGGCCTCCCTTAAAATACAGCTCGCCCGCCTAACTTCCAGTCGCTCACGCAGTCGTCGTCGTTATCGTTCGCGACCTCGGACTGCTGATATTTGCTGGTACCACACTAATTTCGGCGTAAAGACCCGTCGCTGTTCCTCACCCTGCTCTTTTAAACCGAAACAGGGAAACCAGCCAGCCAGAGAATAGATGCGACCGTTTTCTCTGGCTCTTTCGGCTCTGGTCGCACCTTCTATGTTTGCGACACTGCGACTCGCAGACGTTTTCTGGTGGACACTGGAGCCCAAATCAGCGTTGTTTCTCCAACCGCAGCTGATCGTCGTTTTCCTAGCCCTGGTCTTCATCTTCAAGCTGCTAACTGTTCCCCCATTCCCACTTTTGGCAATCTGTCCCTCACCCTGAACATTGGCCTTCGTCGGTCATTTACTTGGATCTTTGTGATTGCTGACGTCCCTCATGCAATCCTCGGCTCGGACTTTCTTGCCAAATTCGATCTCCTTGTTGACTGCCGACGCGCCCGTCTCCTCGACCGCACTACCGGTCTATTTTTCCGTAGACTAACTCCCTGCTCCCACCAACTTATCTGTCTTGGATATGGGCATTGCTAGTCCTTTTCGGCAGCTGCTGCTTAGTCACCCCAACATAATTAACCCCCAGTTTCGCAGTGGTGAGGTTCAACATGATGTTGTGCACCATATCCGCACCTCAGGCCCTCCCGTGTTTGCTCGACCGAGACGAATAGCACCGGAGCATTTTCAGACCGCGAAGGCGGAGTTTGAACACATGCTGCAACTGGGAGTAATTCGACCGTCCGAAAGCCCTTGGGCGTCTCCACTGCACATGGTGCCCAAGGCGACATCAGGCGACTGGCGACCCTGTGGCGACTATCGTGCCCTCAACAACGCTACCATTCCTGATCGGTACCCCGTGCCTCATCTTCAGGACTTTGCTGGAGCCCTTTTCGGCAAAGCGGTCTTCCCGAAGATTGATCTGGTGCGTGCTTTTCATCAGATTCCAGTCGCCCCTGAGGACATCCTTAAAACCGCCGTCACCACACCCTTCGGCCTCTTTAAGTTCGTCCGCATGCCGTTTGGTCTACGTAATGCCGCCTAAACGCTCCAGAGGTTCATCAACCATGTCTTACGCGGCCTACCCTTTGTGCACGCCTACATTGATGACCTCTTGGTTGCCAGCCGGAATGAGGAAGAACACAAAGAGCATCTTGCCTTGGTGTTTGACCGTCTTGACAAGTTTGGCGTTGTCATCAACCCCTCCAAGTGCGTGTTGGGTGTGCCTTCACTCGAGTTCCTTGGCCATCAGGTCGACTCTGAAGGTTTGCGTCCCCTCCCCTCCAAAGTTGAATCAGTTCGTAATTTTCCTCCTCCAACTTCCAAGCGTCAGTTACAGCGATTCCTCGGCATGGTCAATTTTTACCGTCGGTTCCTACCGAACTGTACTGACCTCATGTTGCCGCTCACCAACATGCTTTCTGGTACCAAAGGTCCCCTCGAGCTAGCTGATGAAGCACTGATTGCTTTTGAGAGAATCAGAATTCCCTTGCCGATGCCACCTTACTCACACATCCGCTCCCGAAGCTCAGCTGCCTCTGATGGTAGATGCTTCGACCGTAGCCGTAGGTGCAGTCCTTCAACAACACCTTCCTGGTTCGACTCAACCACTTGCCTTTTTCTCCAAAAAGCTCTTAGCAGCTGAGACACGCTACAGTACCTTTGGCGTGAACTACTTGCCATTTACCTGGCTGTGAAGCATTCCCGGAATTTCCTTGAAGGTCGTGACTTCACTGTTTTCACTGACCACAAACCGTTGACTTTTGCACTTCGTTCCCACTCCGACAAATACAATCCGAGGGAAATCGCCCACCTGGACTACATCTCCCGATTCACCACCAACATCCGCCACATTGATGGCACGAAGAATGAGGTGGCTGATATGCTGTCCAGACCCTCACTGTCTTCCCTCAAACTCTCACACGGGATCAATCTTTGTGCCATGGCGGCTGAGCAACAGCGAGTCGGTTGTCCTGGTGACGAGTCTGTTAGTGGTCTCCAACTCAAAGACGTTCCTCTGACCACCGGCTCTGGTACCATACTTTGTGACGTCTCAACTCCCTTTTATCGCCCTTTTGCGCCCGCCTCGATGCGTCCAGCTGTATTTCAAACTCTGCATGGACTCTCCCACCCCGGGATCCGAGCCTCTCAAAAGCTCCTTGCGGAAAGGTTTGTCTGGCCTGGCATGAACAAGAACGTCAAGGCTTGGGCCCGGTCGTGTCTGATCTGCCAGCGCAACAAGGTGCAGCGTCACAACAAGTCCTCACCTGGCACTTTCCCCAGTCCCGACGCACGGTTCAGCCATGTGCACCTGGATGTCGTAGGACCCTTGCCTCCATCCAATGGTTTCACTCACCTCCTTACCTGTGTCGATCGATATACCCGCTAGGCTGAAGCTATTCCTTTGCCGAATGTGGAGGCTGAAACCATCGTGAAGGCCTTCGTCAGCCGTTGGGTCGCCATGTTCTATGCCCCATCCACGGTTACGACTGATCGTGGTGCCCAGTTTGAGTCGGCACTCTTCCAAACGCTACTCAATTTTCTTGGCTGCACACGCATTTGGATGACAGCCTACCACCCAGTTGCCAACGGTATGGTGGAACGTTTCCATCGCCGGCTAAAGACTGCCCTGCGTGCCGTAGAAGACCCAGGGCACTGGTCGGACAACCTTCCTCTTGCACTCCTCGGCATCCGAGCAGCTCTGAAGTCGGATCTCGGCTGTAGCGCAGCTGAATTGGTTTTCGGCACTACCCTCCGACTGTCAGGCGAGATGATCACTCCAAACTCTCGTGGGACCGACAAGACTCCTGACAACCTTGTGCGTCGTTTGCGGCAATTTATGCGCTTGCTTTCCCCGGTTCCATCTCGAGCTCCAATGACTGAGTCTTATGTCGAAAAAGACTTGGACAAGTGTACTCACGTGTTCATCCGGTGTGACCGTGTGCGCCAGCCGCTGGAATCACCATACGAAGGACCGTTCCGCGTGCTCGCGCGCAACACCAAAACCTTCCGGATACTTCGCAGTGACAAGGAGGACGTGGTCAGTGTCGATCGGGTCGAGGCTGCTGTTGCAGAGGAGCCGCCGGGCCGGTCACTAGGACAAGAATGTGCTGACCCCACAACCCCTGTTCGTCCATCTTCCCTAGCCCCTGCTCATTCACCCTGCCCACTGCCTTGCCCTTCCCCTCCCTTGCCCTCCACCTCTTCGTCCCGCATACTTCCTTTCCCTACTTCTCTACAGCATCCAACTGCAACATCATCCTCCACCATAGCACGTAGTCAACCCTCTTCGACTGTACCTCCTGCCTTCATCACCCGCAGTGGCCGTCACGTTCATTTTCGCGATTGTTTAGCTACGCATTTTTTCTAGACTTGTGCACATCCTCAGGCGCCGTATTCCGTCGCCCTCGGGTCTAAAAGGGGGGTACTGTGGTAAGGTACCTGACTAATTTACCTTTGAAAAATTAGTCCCATTTTCTTTGACCGGGTTGCTCGTTTGAATGTGGCGAGGAACGACACACCTGTACAACCCGCGTTGTTAGCGTGCTCCTCTGTCGTGGTCTGTTGTCAGTTTTTTTAACGTTCAAAATCTCTATATTATTCACTTCTCCGTTTTACTTGCTGCCTTTAAGGCTAGGGGCTCGTGAGATATAACTTGTTACTTCGTGAGAACATTGCCTTTTTACGACAAGCCTGTTTTTTGATTCCGGTCACAATTTCGTGAAATGGGCCAACTACTATATCTTGGTCTCCTTTTTGCCAACTACTAGCTGTCTGTCGGCAGTTAGTGAGTAGTACGCGGTTATCCCGCTGCGGCTGATGGACTTTGGCCCAAATATACATACATCAAGTTTCGGTCTGCGCCTATAAATCTTAGTATATACTGACCTTATTCAAGTTCACTGTTACTTTCTGAGGAAATTAAAAAGCAACAATTTGTAAACTTGAGCATCTACCAGAAAGCAGACAGGGAATACTGGGGAACCCACTGATGAGCCAAACCCCTCGTAGCTGTGCCATGCAGCGGCAGAATATCGGCGAAACACGCGTGTCTGAGCTTGTAATGAGTGCCTGTGCCGCTGGTATGGTATCTTGTTATCCCAAAATGGAAAGTTGGGTATGCTATTCATTACTTCCTCTGGCACCGCGAACTTCTATATCTGTCGACTATGTATTTGAAGTACTTTACACTAACAGTAAACTGGTTAACTCCACTGATGGTCCACTGTGCAACCATCGGTCTACCGACTTCCGAAATTCTAAAGGACTTGCTATTTTTTTCTCAAGATACCTGAGTTCCTGTGTATATTTCAATTTCACTGTAGCCAAATCTAGGCGTAAATTAGGCTTGGCGTACGGACAGTCCCTTCAAGACAAACTGCGTGCTGGCGGACACAGGAACAGAATCTTTTAAATTATTTCCAATTCAAGGGAGCATCACGCAATAGTCATTTGCTGCCTCTTTTGATAGTTTGAACCTCAAACCACGCAGAAGCAATCTATATATTGATTAGACTTCGACTCCAATGGATCTACAAGAATGCAGTATTAGCAAAAATGGCTTCAACATGAAAATAAAAACGAGTTCTTCAGTTTTATAGCCGAAAAAATGATTTTTTTTTCAGGGGGAATAAAAAACCCTTTGAAGGTTCCAATTTTTTCCTTGACTTTACCTTGTAGAAAGGTGAAGTCCGTGGACACAGGTCAGCGAAACACCTTCTTAAGGCGCTTTTTGGGGACGTAACCTACTGGTAGTCTTCTGTGAATTGGTCTAGAATATATTTATTGCCGACTTTACTAGCAGAATTAATTTTTCTCGATGATTCTGTTCCATGAATGGGCGAGGTTACAAATATAACTCAACGAGTCATCTGCATCAAGTGTGCCGGTCAGGAGCTATCTGCTTAAATACTTTCAAGAAATATCTTACTTTGGAAGTTTTACTGAACACGTAACACCGAACTGATCTGTATGAGCAGCCGATTGGGAACATTAAAGTCGCACAACATTTACAGACACTTCAAGGACACTGAAACTCAACGGACTCCATCGTCGCCAAAAAAAATTATAGTTTTACGAAGGACAATCTCCCTTAACACACTCAAAATGGGATGTCTTATGATTGCATCTTATAATTCTATTTGAATTTCGTCAACAGTAGGGTGAAGGACCCCATTTAACAGTCGGTAGACTGGGAACCATATCATACGGGAATGGGGGCAATGGGGGTTTTGCGGGTGGGGCATCACGCCAGAAAGTAAGCGGACCAAAGGCAAGAAAAGACAGGAATTGTTTGGATTTCTGCCGAAAGTCTTGTCGTGCGCCTTCTTGTGGGAGCGGAAGTGAGCGTGTTGATCGAAAAAATCAAAAATCAAATTTTTCAAAAAAATAACGGACTTTGAGTAATGACTTGAGGTCATGGGAAGTTATTATTTTTGATAGTGTCTGCAACGGCCTGCAAATGGATTCCAAGACAAAACTCTACCTGACGCGATCCAAAGTCGACCGACAGTTAATCGGCGTCTTTCACCTTACCGTTTCCCGAATTTCTTAGTCACTGATCGACATGACAAAATATATTCTCATGAAAACCTTTATATCAGTGACATCCCAATCGGAGAAAGCAAGCGAAATCCTCCTTACCATAGTCAACCGCATATCAAGCAATGTAAAAACGAACGACTTTCAGCAAATTTTCTTGAAACCGTTCTGGAGACTATACTCAAAGTGTGGGCTGGTGGCCAGCCGGCATAAGTTACATTCCACAAATTTTTGGAGGACATTTATGTTTTCCACTTGTGCTGTTGTATTTACTGCTAAGCTTAAGTTTACTCATCTGACATCTGTTGTGTAACTGTTGACATTTCCGCTTTTCCAGAGACTTTTATTTCCAAACAGTGTAACATCAATTATAGTAGTTCCTTTGTGTTTGCACCTCACATAAAGTCATTTATTATAAAGTGGAATTTTTATTCGCTATGTTTGGCTGGTTTTCGTATGACTGGAGACGTTTCGTGAATTTAGGCACTGCTCATATGTTAGGTCACATACTGTATTTTTTTAAAGGCTTGAAAATGAATACTTGAATATGTTTGTTTGACTGGATTTCTGCGTGCCGTTTCTAGCGCAACTTGTCACGAAATCACAGAAAGCACGCTCAATTTTTATTTGGACCTACTATACGTTCAGACGCCTCCACTGACTGCAAACAAACTGTTTGGCCTCTATAGCCATTATGCCTGCTGCTGTTAGCGAGTGTCTGGAGAGCTTCAGTCTCATTCTCTCGAGTAAAACGGCGCAGCCCATAGCTAGGCCTACGATGATAGTGCACTTGAAATTCAAGGAAACCTTCACAAGCTGTATGAGAGATTTGCAAACTCATTCATGTGCCAACACAAATTCTACCACAGGCTATAAACAGCACCTTCCAGCCACCACAAATAATTTGCTAAATGCGCATCTTTTATCAATGGCTTATAGTGTCTCTGTTCTGAGTCATATCTGCTTGGACCTATAGTGTCCACTGAAGGAACAGCGGCCAATTTTGAACATTTGTGGTCGGTGGCCTGCGCTTGGCTGAGGAGCTCTCAAGATTGGACTTTGCGGCCGTTTTGGAGCACACTGGGTCTTCGCTGGTCCCTCAGGGTGTTGGGGCAGTAAGGACAGCATCGCCCAGCATGCCTTGATAAGGCCCCAGCTCTTGTCGTGGCCAATTAAGCGTCCTCCACAAACGGGGTCATGTCAGACCCTGTTGTCCTCAAACGGTGTCGTCCCCCTAATGTGTGCTTAAGGCCATTGACGGAAGTGGGACAGTGCCGTTAATGAACATGTTTTTCATCCGGAGAAATAAAATGCTACTGTGCCATTTTAATAGAATGGCGGCATGCAAACACAGCTTTCTTAGGGATGATTGACAAACCTCCAAATTATTTCTAGTCCTCGGCCGAAATTTTGCAGAGTACACTCTAGTAGCCTTTGAAAAATATGGGTCGCCTTCGAGGTCCACCATTTCACTTACGAACCATGCATTTAAGAAGGCAAGTCAACAAATATAGGGTGTGTTTTAGAAACCCATAAATATCTAATACCTTTAATTTTCGGCAGAAACAAGGTTTTTTAGGGGATAACGGCAGTACCGTGTTTAGACTACGAAAATCCACACTGGAGTGCTGGTGGAAGTGCGAAAACGTTAGTACACTGAGTGACCGATCTGATGAAATGTTGGCTGAAGTTCTGAAATGCGTATTCAATTGGGAAGGATTACTTTGGGGCAGTTTTAACATTGATTGTCTTGCGTCATAACCCTATAATATTTCGGATTCGGCAGGATATCAGCTTTTGAATACACTGCTTTTTGAACTCTTATAAAAACCGTACGCGGTAAAATGACTACTTTTGCTAACATGAGCGTACATTTTTCACATTGATTTTCGATGGTCTTGAAAATTTAAATATATTTTATAAAAAGCACGAAAAAATGCTTTCTTTCATTCGACTGATAGCGATTCACGTCATCTTTATATTTTATATTCGAAGAAGAAGTATAATAACGTTTTAAAATGTGTCTAATTATGAGATTTTTTAAGATCGCGCAAAGTCCGTTAACAATGCATCGTACCTGTCCGTTTATCACTGCTCCTCACGAAATGTACATAATAGTCCGCATCCATTGCAAAATGCCATGGACTTTATATGAAACCTTTTTAAGGGCATAGAACAATATGTGACTTTCTTTACGGGGGGTGCAAGCGTCTTGTAGACTTAAACAGCTAAGCGCTAATGCAACGACTGTTCAGGCTCCAACTTATTCGGCAATTAGTAAACCTTTTTAAAACCTGATTATACTCCTTCTTCAAACACAAAGTTTAAAGATGACGTGATTCTCCATCAATCAAATGAAAGAAAGCATTTTTTCATGGTTTCTATAAAGCTGACATCCTGCCGAGTCGGAAATATTGTAGGGTTATGTCGAAAGGCAATCAGTATTACAGTCGCTCCTAAGTAATGCTTCCTAATCGAAAACGCATTTCAAAATTTCAGCCACCATTTCATGAGATCGTCCACTCACTGTACAGTCCAGCGGAAGCTGATAAACGTGCCAAGCAATACTCATACACGGATTACAATTAACTTTGAGACCGAGAGCACTGCAAAAGTGACGACCCAGAGAACCTTAAGCATGCAAGTGGTCTCTGGGAAATGTAAACAGATAATACAGTCCCTTCACTAATCACATAGGCTGCTTATGAGATAGGGATCACAGACAGAATAATCATTTTATTTGATTTTTTGCACAACCTAACGCAGACACTAGACATAGCAGGCCTGACTCAACAATCCGCCGGCAATTGATGCGGCCAACAGATCCAT